TCTTACCCCCCCCCCCCCCCTCCAACCCTTCAATTAAGTCTCTAAATTAGCCACAAAAACCTTACTTTCTCGTTCAATTCTCCATCCGGGTATTCTTAATTTAGTCTCTTGAATCCGATTTAGCTAAAAAGTTTCAATCTTTACACAGATCAGAGGTTGATGCTGTGTGAATGATTTTGTTGGTTTTTGGTGGGGGGTTTTGTGGCCGTTTGATTTGTAGACTTTTTGAGTTTGAATCTTTTATGTAAAGAGGATAAGAGTGGTGGGATTTTGATTTGGTTAGTGTTTCATGCTTGCATGTAGAGAATTGTGGAGTTTGGGTACTAAAGTTTAATCATTTTTGTTGATTAACGATAAGGGGGTTTGATAATTTATAGTGTTGTTTTAAATTTCTTCTATTTGTTGAATTTTGCATGTATAAGCAATAAGGGGTCCTCTGCTAAATTGTAGAGGATCCCACGCTGGTGTTGGTTAGATTTTATAGTTTTTGTTGGGAACTGGTGAAATGAAAAATATAGTTATTTGAATTGTGGTTTCTCTTGGAGTGATTTTGCTAGAATTGGGATTTTGTTGATTGGTGGTGTGTCAAGTATTTATTGTATTTATATAAATTATTTTTTGGACGGAAAATGTTTGGTTCTGGTTCCAGTACTGGCCATGATAATAGTGGAGTAATTCCGGTGCGCTTCGTCTGGCCTTATGGAGGGGGAGAAGTGTCTATCTTTGGTACCTTTACTAGGTAAGTTGCTAAATTGACCAGATTTTTGTGATGATCACCAAGAATATTATTGTTTTTGTGGTAATGAATTTACAAATGGCTTTTAGTTCTGTTATTGATAATGTGTTCTCTTTTCATAACTTTAAGGGTTTTTTGGTTTGTGTTTTGGTGTGACTTGGGTGTCTAATTGAGTTGTAATTTGGGCAGGTGGATTGACCTTTTACCTTTGTCCCCGGTGGAAGGGTGCCCTAATGTATTTCAAATTGTTGTTAGCTTAGTGCCTGGATTGCATCAGGTATGTTAAACCAACTCAGCTAGTAAGGCATGTTTAACAGTTATGCCTGTGATGATGACTTTGTAGCTGGCATTTGTGGGAATCTTTTGTTGCATTATATAATTATGTAAGTTTTTAGGGTTGAAAGGAAAGTAACTTGAATTTATGTTAATAACTAATCAATGTGCTTATGCTATACAAAGATATTTCATTACTTTGTTAGTTATCTATAATAATTTATGAGCCTTTTGATCTCGTAAGCCATCAAATTTGAGTGATAGAAATGTAAGGCAATAAATTATTTTTAAAATGTAGCAATGGAACATGGCAATGAAAGCTATAGTGCATTTGGCCTTAGGTTATCGCTCAGAAAGGAGCCATCTTTGAAGAGAATCATCCCAATGGAACGTAAATGATTCATGACTATGGAGTTTTCTCAACGTTTCCCTTCACAAGGTTAAGCTTTTGGGACAGAATCCATTGGCTTTTACATTGACATCAAGATTATTGTCATAATAGAAAACCGAGCTTGTTCAAGTTTTTATGGCCACTAACATATGCATTCTGCATTAGCATGTGGTTTTTGACTGGCTCTATCTGTTGCTTTCTCAGAATGTTTTTAGACGATTAATCTGATTCGATTGACATCTCATATTCAAATTGTGCTCGATTTTAGAAGTCAGTTAAGTTAGTAATGTTATTTTTTTAGTCTTTTAAGAGATTGAATCTGCTTTAGGCTAAGCTAAAAAGGAACCATACAAACTACTGGCTTTCTGTAACCTTTGCAGGGTCGTCATTCTCCTTTCTAATATGTTAATGGTTGTAGGAATGAGATAGAATGTTAAAGTGCTCTCTGTTTGGTGCATCTATGTGTGCTATTTTTCCTAACTAATGTTCTCATCAACAATTAAGGAATGTGTATTTCTAACATCTCTGCTACCTTCAAAATCGTTGTCATTTTTGCACACAGTTCAAGTTCCGTGTAGATGGACAATGGCAGGTTGATGAGCAGTTATCCTTTGTTGATGGGCCTTATGGGGTGGTAAATACTGTTGTCTTAACTAAGGATCCTCCACAAATTCTTAATTCCGAGACACCTGGGAGATCCAACATGGAGCTGGATGATGTTTCTGTTTGCCCGGTAAGATACATTTCAGCTTTGACATTACCAGTCGCTTTCAGACCAGTTTTTAAGCCCAGATACTTGGCTGTTGTATCTCATAGTGTGTGCTCTTATTTTCGAAGCACCATCCTCATGGCAGTGCTTGGGAGTTGCCATTTTTTCTTTGAATTTTAGCAGCTATTGCACCTTCTTAATCTTAGACCTCAGTTTATGTGCATCCATGTTGTGTTTCATCTGTGCTGTTGCATCTCTTGTTTGTTCATAGACAAGATTCAACTCAGAATTGCATGGATGGATTATTTTTGTATTGCCTCAGGGGAATGTAAACATATCAGTAGGGAGGCCCAAAGTAGATAAAATGAGGTAGATGAATCATCTTAAATAAAGAAACAGCAACTGTTACCCTCCTTGTTTCTTTTTTCAGCCATCTTTGTTTTTTTTACCTGAAAAGACTTCTTTAAATTTCCTTTCTGGGGTTATTACAAGAGAGAAAGAGGTTGAAGCTGGAAATGAAGCAGAATAGCAAATTTGTGAATTGAGAATATTTTAACCTAGGGAAAAGGACAAAATGGCAAATTTGGGAATGAGTATGACATTGAGCTGCTTAATTTTGTTCATCTCTTGAAATCAATAAACAGAGAAGGCGACGAATCTTGTTGAGATTGTTAATTATTTTATGCTAGATGCTTCCTGTGTATTCCTTCAGGGCAGAGTTGGTCACTCTGTTAGTTCGTACTTTTCAGGAAGTACTCCAAGGGATATCAGCAACTGAGTTGGAGGTCTCTCGTCATCGTATTTCTGCTTTCTTGTCCACACATACTGCATACGAGTTGCTTCCAGAGTCAGGCAAGGTTTGAATGCTTTACCTTCTTCAGGAACTAATTGTACTCTCATTCTCTATGTTTTCAACCACAACCGGGATGTTCATCTGTTCCTTGTTCTGTCTTACTTTTCAGGTTATTGCCTTGGATGTTACTCTACCTGTGAAGCAAGCCTTTCATATTCTCTATGAACAGGTGAATCTCCACTATGCATCCAAACACAGACAGACATAAGCTGAACACATGCAGCAAGTTAATGTTCTTGCTAGTGAATGTGAAACTAATCCTTTGTACCTAGGCATATTGTATAACTTATTTTTCTATTTTATAATGATTTCTGGAACTATTGGCCCTATGGGCTTTTCTGTCAATTCAATATGCTACTGCTACATTTATAGTAGTTGAATATTAGCTCAGATTTCTCTTGCTGACTTGAGCCAATTTTAGGGCATCCCTATGGCTCCTCTCTGGGACTTTTGCAAGGGCCAGTTTGTTGGAGTGCTTACTGCATTGGACTTCATCTTGATTCTGAGGGAGGTGTGTATTTTGGCACTTCTTTTCCAATGCTAATATGATCCATGATGATTTTAAGTGAAATTGCAATATACTGAAGAGAAAAAAATGCTGTATGTAGATAAGGGACTAGACTGATAACTTAATTAAGTCTGCGTTCCCTCTAGGGCTCATAATTGTTATATAAATACCAAAAATAAACACTTAGGATTGGAAGATACAATTCGCAGGAAAAACAGTAACTGCTAGTGATATTTTCTTCTTTAGCTGCATTGTCTGTTTTAGTGCTGATTAGATTCATCATGAGTTTTGGAAAATGAATTGCTGTACATTTTTTTTACCAATTACAAGAAACCTATTTTTGTTTTGCTAAGAGAAATAACTGAAGAAATTGAATTTTGACTTGGCTGCCTGCAAAAACTCTCCAAGAAATCAAGTCATTTGCATCTCCACACCACTAAGCAATTGTAACATAGGCTTTAAAGAAAAATGGTTACGTTCACATGCTTATTAGTGTTCTAATGTCTTCATTTCGTGCATGATCACTGAAGTCTGTCTTGTGTTTTCAATTGCATGTTTTCAAAGGTATCACAAAATATGTGCATTCATTTTAAATTAAGGATCTGTCTTTGTAATTGTTGTTAATCTACTTGTGTTTTTACCTTTGTCTTGTAAGAAAAGAAGGACTAGTTAAGTTCCTAGACTGCATGTACTTGTGCTCTTACATTTCTACATGTCTTCAATTGCATGTTTTCTAAGGTATCACAAAACATGTGCATTCATGTGGATGTACACAAGCACATGCAGGCACTGTATATTAAGGACGTTGTCTTTGGATGTATTGTTGATGTGCTTATTCTTTTACATTTGTCTATGTTAGAAATGAAGGACTAGTTAAGTTCCTAGAGTATATTTAATTGTTTTGCTATTGTACATGTTTGGCATTCGTGTCTCTCAGTTGTTTAACATTTATGAACCTTGCAATTTCAGCTTGGAACTCATGGATCTAATCTGACGGAGGAAGAATTAGAGACACATACTATATCTGCTTGGAAGGAAGGAAAAATGCATCTCAACAGACAGATTGATGGTAGTGGGAGAGCATACTCTAAACATCTGATCCATGTTAGTGTTTCTTCTGATGCCTTGCTAAGATTCATTAGAATCCAAAATAATCTCCCAGCCATTATTTGTCATTTATTTGAGTATCTTACATGTTGGGCTTTTCATGTATGATTGTATGTCTTGCTCTTATGGGCACAATCATCTCTAAACTAGGATGGTAGAATGACAAATACACTTGGGGAAATGGTTGCTTGGAAAATAATTTTTGTTTTCAATGTTGAATTCTTTTAGCACCTTACTTGGTTCCATATGGTCTGCAACAGCAAATGGGTTGAAATGCTCCTTTTAGATTAGGGCAATGCTGCTTGAAGTCACCTGTATTGAATTTTTTGAATCAGATGGTGCAAATGAGCAGCTTCAGATGTAGAACCATTTCTGTAGTTTTATTGATTTCTTATTCTGGTGTTGCAATCTGCTATGTCAGTAATTATTATCCTCCACTTGTTTAATATGCAGGCAGGGCCATATGATTCGATGAAAGATGTTTCTTTGAAAATTTTGCAAAACAGCGTATCAACAGTTCCCATTATTCATTCTGCTTCTCATGATGGCTCATTTCCGCAGCTACTTCATCTTGCTTCCCTGTCTGGAATACTAAAATGTAAGCTTTCTTGGTTTGATGCTTGAGGATGTATAACTTGTTGCTAACAAATGGACCTAATTGTCAGGTATATGCAGGTATTTCAGACATTCTGCTGGCTCCTTACCCATTCTTCAACAGCCAATTTGTTCAATTCCTTTGGGTACATGGGTTCCAAAAATTGGGGAACCAAACAGACGGCCATTTGCAATGCTGAGACCAAATGCTTCTCTCGGTGCTGCTCTGTCTTTGTTGGCTCAAGGTAATTCACACGGCAAAAGATTACCACAAGCTACAACTGTCCTCTTCTATCTGTTTCTGAGTGTGCATATTGCTGATTGATCTTCTTTAACCTCTCCTAACCTTGTGCTATAATACCTTCCTGGTACAGCCAATGTCAGTTCAATACCAATTGTAAATGATAACGATTCACTGCTGGATGTATATTCTCGAAGGTAACTTGTGCATCTGTGAGTGCATGTGCTTGCATGTTTTGGATCTTTCTTATTGTTGAATTGCAGGTTAAGCCATCTTTGACTTAAGTAAGTTGTTTCCTTGACAGTGATATCACTGCTTTGGCTAAAGATAAAGCCTATGCACAAATTCATCTTGATGAAATAAGTATTCATCAGGTAATTAGTTTTGATTACTTTGAGCTCTATTTATATGCAGTTGTATGCACATTCTTGCAATGGTCTGAACCAATCCGCAGCTCTGTACATGAATATGCACTCGTGAAACAATAAATACATTCAACTAAATCAGGAGAAGAAGATAAATGACTGGAAGTGATAAAGTAAACTGCATTTTTGAATAAAACATGCATGGCGTGAACCTACTGTATTGATATGCTCTTTCATACCCTTTTAGGCTCTGCAATTGGGTCAGAATGCAAATTCTTCAAATGCGTTCTACAATGGACAGAGATGTCAGATGTGTTTGCGGACTGATTCTCTACACAAAGTAATGGAGCGTTTGGCAAATCCCGGTACTCTTACAGCAATATGATTTTTTTTCTACATCAACTCTTCACCGTAAGTAGTTCTGACTTCGTGGTCTGGACTAGTAACACGTTTTCTAATTGCTTTGTTGCGTGGTCTTTTCAGGGGTTAGGAGGCTTTTGATTGTGGAAGCTGGCAGCAAGCGTGTAGAAGGGGTTATCTCACTGAGTGATGTCTTCAGGTTCCTGCTGGGGATATAGCTTAGATGTTAAGCAATTTGCATGCTGTGGTGACGTTGGAGAGGACCAGTCTTTACTCATTGTTCTCTTAGGTTGGAAGGGCCCCATGATTCTGACCCCCACACTTTTTCGTTTTTTAGGATAGGAAATTCAAAGAGCAAAAAAGAATTTGTAAATTGTGAGTCTTCCAGTCTTCCATTTCTCCCCCATTTAACCTAAATTGTTATAAAGTCGAATCATGCCGATGGACAAAACGCCATGTTTATTATTGCCAACAGAAAATGAGGTTCAAAGTGCATTGAACTGCCTGTGGCAACCCATGCTGTTGGTAGAATGTTGGTGATTGATTCAATTTCAGTTTCTGATCCCAGCTTATTGATTCTAGCATAGTTTTGCTCTCATGCTTTCCTGTCTTTCATGTTATTTTGCTTCCAAAATCTGGCATAAAATGGCTCCAAGTAAAATTAAAAAAAAAAAAACCCACTAATTGATTCTTCTCCAGTGTAATCAATTTTTTATCTGCCAGCATAGTAGCTCTCGAAACTGGCACATTGCATAACTAGCCATTCTCATCACCAACGAAACTTGCATCAACGCTCTTAAACTCATCATACTTGTGTACTTGAAATCGTGACATTAGGTCAGGAGGCTTGTCTTCTACACAACCCTGAAATAGAACTTTCGCTAGTTCTCCACTTATTCAGGAGAAAAAAACATGAAATCTCAACATCTGAGTAAATGGGCCGAGTGATGAGATTTATGATCTTACTAATCATGACCTTTAACCGCAATGGCACACAAATATGGCTGTTTTAAATTGGAATTGAGGAACAATTCTAGTTTGGGGATGGAAAGAGAGGTGTAATGGGACCCAAAGGAGGGGCTAGGGTTAATTAGGATAGTTTTTCCACAAGCAGAAGCTGTAGCAGCGATAGCGCATTGTGGTAAACCAGTGCCCATGGCAATCAGGTCAGAGTTGGTTGCTTCAATTCGTGGGTAGAGTGGCCAATTCACCCATGGAAGCACATGAGAGGGACAGTAGATTAGCTGCCGCAAATAAGCAATGGAGTAGCTCCAAATCACATGGAAACAAGGAAAATCAATCTCATCAAGTACCATCAACAACGGAGTTTTTCAACATTTCTTTTTCAGCTTGTTTGGAACATAAAAAACTGTTGCAAGTGAAACTCCATCTAGCCATTTTTCTTGTTTGGAAAAGTTTGAAGTTAAAAAAATCAATTGTATAATCTCAGCTAAAAACACGAATTCTATAGGATCACTCAAAATTGGTTCGTTAGATCACACTCTTTACCTTTATGAACAAATAAATTGAAATTCAAACCAATTCCAAGCAAAGGATGAGCAAGAACTTGTCAAAAGCAAACTGAACAAATCTCTCAAATCATAACTAGACACCCAATTTCCTACACGAAAGCACCGACTTTAGTATCATCACTGCATCTTCAAGTAGTCTGATGCTATATAAAAATAAATAAATAAAATCCTGACCAATGAACAGAATGGGAGTAATTAAAAAGCTTTAGAACCTGAGAAACTACAATGTCCTCTATTTTGTTAAGATTGAAACAAAAACAAACACATATGCACAAAGCAAGATTGAATGGATTTCAAGTTCAAGGAATGCTGCACACCTTGGATTCACAAAACAATGTCATTTCGGTGGTATGACATCTTTGGCCAATTACAGTTTGCCAAATATCCTTCCTTATCTATCACCAGCCTAGTTCCCACAGCGGCAGATAGTGTGAATTGAATGAAGCAGCAGAACAAAAATTGTTTGTATTATCTTTGCATGATTCTCTTTTTACTAGTTGGCTTGGCTTTTCAGACGACAAAAGCTGAACAATCATAAACAGATAGCAAAATATGTAAATTGTATTTTTTTTTTTTTTTTGTGTTTACATATTTTCATGTTATTTTGTGCTGTGTCTCCTGCCCTTCTTTTCTGTTAGGTGCTTGGCTTATCCACTGATTAAATCCTAACAAGAAAATTTTCAAATTTGAAGGTCTTTAGAATGAATATGAGATCACGATAATGAAAAATACTTGTACTCGGGTTGGCACCTGTTGGCCAGATTTTCGCTTTCCCGCAGTCAAGTGCTGTGTTAAAGGGCTGTGCATTGGCCACCACAACTTAAATCTCAGGGCGGGTGATGTCAATGGATCAAAGAACAAAGATAACGAGCAAACTAATAATTGTTGAAATCAATATATTTCCACTGATACGAATTCACTTGTCATGTTTACAAAGAAGTATTTTGACTCTATCATCAAGTTTTCATGTAACAGTGATCTCTCTGATGAGTTTTTTCATGTTTTACAACAAATAGTTGCTTGAAAAACCAAGCATCTCTGAATTTTTGAAGTTCTCAAAACAGGAAACGTGTGTAGTAGCATCACATTTGTTTTCCCCTCAATTGCTTTAACAAATAAGCATAGAGCTTCATAAACCACTCGATGCCACCACAACTACAACGCACCAGGTGCATAATGCCCGGGTAATTGCTGGCAGAGATAGGGAAGTGATTGAATACAGCAGCATAATTAGCAAACTGATCCAGTCCAGCATTATATCTAGGTCTCTAGAGTGAGTCCAATATCATCCTCAGAATTCTCAGGTGGAGTTGTCTCTGGGAAATTTTCTTCATTTGGATACATCTCCTGAAAGAGCTGTCAAGTAGAAGCACTAGTATTGAATTCTCAGTCGGCCAAAAAGATGAAAAACTCTCAAGTGTCACTGAACGATGTCTAATCACATAATGGGCAAGAGGAAACAAAAGAGATCATGAAACAGTCAATGAGAGACATCTGTGAGTACACAATGTGATCTAGTAAGCATGCATATTGGCTTGTGGTTGTTGAATCACTGACATTCATTTTCCTATTTAACAACTTGTTGGATGGGAAATAAAAGAGAAAGCAGGAATATACTCAAGTGATGATATAGAGAAATTAGGCATTTAGGATAATGGAACCTGAAGCATCATAAACGTTAAATAGAGGATAACATACCTTCAAAGCTGCATCTAATATATCGTTGTAATTCAGATTTCCATCGGGCATGGGAGCAAAGTTGATAGAATCAAATTGACCCTGAAACAAAAGAGATGGCATACCAATATCAACCTCAATGCATGCGCATTTATATACCTCACTTTCCAAAAAAATTACACATCCAGCACCATGTTTCTTGTTCAAACAGTAAAAAATCAATCTATCATATACCAGTTCTGAGTTTCACTAAATCTGAGCAACAATAGTTATAAAGTATAAGATTTACACCTGATAGCCATTTCAGAGCAAAGGAAGCATTGCTTAGACCGCTACTAAACTGGGAGGTCCAAAATAAAAACCAGCAACAACAACCACGCTACATATTTACTCAAGCAACATTTAATAAAAGAAAGTCAATCCAACTCAAGGTCATAGATTTACAGGAATTAAGCAAGCAAGAGTTAATATAACCTATTGAAACCATTAAAGCACATCCATTCATTCAGCTTACAAATGATCATAGGATCTAGTTAATAAAGTTAAATGAATTGACGCTGGTCTCTAATGTGAGTTGGGGATTGATTTGACTGATGACACTAGCAGAAAAAAGAAGGATGAAGCAGGAGATCACTGAGCAACAGCTCATAGTTGAACTAAAGGGACTCTTAAGTGACCTATTGAGACAACTTTGATGGACACCAACTACCCAAAACAAGTACAGGAAGAAGAAAATAGAGGGAGCTGGAACATGCAAGGAAGAAATTCAATAAAATCTAGAGAATAAATTGAATGGAGGGAGGGAGATTCAAGAGAGGAAGAAGAGGGGAAGACAGGGCAGCAGCCATCAGGTTCTAAAACTCCAGATAGGCAGGCACGTGACAGAAGAGAAGTAACCTTAAGCGTTTATGATGAGGCATCCAATGTATTAAGCCCCTGAACTTGGTGTAAGCTTAACTTGAAACCACCAACACATAAGACAACTAAACCGCGAGTTCTAAACACGAATTCTAATAACCCCCTACTTGTGTGCATGAGCACATATGTGCGCGTGTGTTCACACATGAGATGCTAATGGTAAGAGACAAAAGTTCAAGAGGTGAAGCACCGTAGACATCTCCTGCATATACAACCCGCTCCAAATGACAGTGGGTTTCTCTTCAGTAGTCTCACTCTGAACTGTGGAACTGATTTCAGAATTTACAGGATCAGGACAAGTCAGAAGGGCATTCATAGCCGCATTTAGTAACCTCTTCCCTTGTATGGCATCATCACACAAAGCTGAAAGATAGAGCACAAACCTGAAACAAATAATCAGAGAAATTGTTAACTCAAGGATCCCATATTCTTTTGAGAGGCAGGGGGTTACTGTACTATGAGAAGTAGTAGTTCTCAATGAATGAATAAGACGTCCATTATTATCACCTTAATGATGCTACGTCTGTGGAAAAATTTTGAAGAATGAAACCATAAATAATTAGATGTCTATTATCTCCTTGTAAAGGTTTTCACCCCAAGCAGGGTCTACAAGACATTGGCTAGATATAATCCTAGACCTCTAAAATCTTTTGATTGAAGCAGGATTTCAAAGGATAAATGGAAATAGCACTACAAAAGTTTCAAAAGACAACAAAATGAGATTCGAAATTTCTACTAGCTACCTTTCCAACTTGTCATGGTTAATATATGTATCTCTAATGTACTAGTTATTTTGAAACCTCTCCAAAAGAGTCCACATAAATCCAGGAATGGGGTGAGCAAGGACAAGGTCTCCCTAATATTTTTCATGTTGATCTTGCATGATTACTTATGTTACAAGTGCAGTCCTAACAGGTAGTCAGCAGTAGAATCAGAAGTCAAGGAAAGTAAAAACATAAAAGAAAGTGGTTGGTGGTAACTCACATGCCCAAAGGACAAACAGCCAAGTTGCCACTTATTTGCAGAGCTCGGATTGATGTAATCTGTTCAGGGTACAGGGCTAGACAAAAGGGATAAAAAGTTTGAACCGTATGATTCCTATAAACTCAATAAGGAACAGAAATGAAACTATATGCTGATCTTACATCGAGGTGGGTAAACAACCAGAAGATTTGACGTATCTGGCTTCAAGGAATTTCGTGTGATGCATATCCCTCTGGCCACCTTCCCTTTAACATCTCTGGTACTCAAAAAGTTAAAACTTTCATGCAGAAGATCCGATGGAGAGGTTGATGGTGAGGCAAGTGTAAAGGATGGATCCAGAACCAGCTTCTGGCTAAATATGTCCTGGCCAGAAGCCAATCGAACACCTTTGTAACTCCCACTATCCTGGAAAAGAAAGTTAAGGATAATTCATTTTCCCTAACAGGTCACTTTATAATTTTATGCCCTCCATGTCTTAAACATTATAAGCATATTTTAGCACCTTTTCCATAAGTAACGCAGTCACTGGCATTCGCAAAACCTGTATGACAGAAGTCTCGAAAGCAGGTGAGCATGTTAGCTTGACAAAGCAACACTGTTTTTGTCCACTTTATAACAAAGTTCTATAGTATAATAGGTAAACATTATTTGCAATTTTTTTATGTTCCCGCAAAATATAAGGAAAAATAGCACAAGTACACCTGTGACCATTCTTGTGAAAATCAAGTAACACCCAAGTATCTAAAGCAGCAGAACAGATCAAACAGTGTCAATCACATTTAGGAACAAGTTACTTACACAACACATGGACAAAACAGAATATATCAGACTTTACTATTAACCAAAAATGATAGTTCATATTTCACCAAGAGAAAGAAGCCACAGTTTCTTCCAGTGAACTTACGTAAATGCAACCTTTGACAGCAGATCGGCGGCTAAAGGCTTGTGGCAGTTCCCCTTGACCATAAATGGGATAGATTAGGGCCCCGGAAGCATTTGTAAACCTGAAAGGAGCAAGAATTATAAACAACAAACTTAAAGCAAATCGATGTAAATTGCTTAACTAATACAACATTCCAAGCCATAAATCAAGGTTAGATTTTTAGTTGCCAGTACAGAACTAGAACTCAAAACATTTTTTCCCTCTTTATCAGCTCCTACCCTACACTTTCTGTTGTGTTCAATACTGGAAGGAAAAATAATATAATCTTGTAGTTAACGCAATATGTGTTTCTGATCAAGATATCATACAAGTCGCAAGTGCAGCTCTATAGCACCCATCTAAATTTTAAACCAGAGAATAACTGCTTCACTATAAAACAGAATAAACAAGAATTAACCTCCCAACTGATGACTGGTATAGAGCCAAACGATCTATTCCATCTTTAGTCTTGAGCAAATTTTGGCAAACCCCCATGTCATCTTGATCATAATCTGCCATAGCTATAGCATACAGAATAATCCTGCAGACAAGCAGAGATAACCAAAATTCCGTAAACTTTAGACCAAACAGGGAAACAAAACGCACAAATAACAAATAAACTCTTGCTAACTGATAGAGAAAGGCAACAGCAGTCTGTACGATCTAATCTTTGGAGGCAACCGCATTTTTGACAAGTACTCAACAAATGGCCTCTCCAAATCCTCATCTGAAATCTTCGTCTTACCTTCCTCTTCATCATTGCCATTCCCATCATTACCAGAAGAACCCGCCGCCCCTGTGGCAACCAAGTGCCCTTGCACCAGCTTGAAAAACCTCATCAACTGATTCTTTTCCATCAGAGTCAAACTCTTATCCTTAAATATGGCAGCTCTGGAATCTGGCACATTCCATAGCTTTCCATTCCCATCACCAACAAAACTGGCATCAATACTCTTGAACTCCACATAATTACTTGCTCCAGATTTTAACATAAGATCAATTGACTTGTCTGCGCAAAATAACACCCTTGGTCCACATAAGTCCAAATTGAACTTCCGTAAGTTTTCTTCCAATAATTCAGGGTAAAAACAGGAAATCTCAACATCTGAATATACCGGCTGCGTGGTGAGATTTACAATCGAGTAATCAAGGCTGTCAGTTGTGGTTGAGGTGGAAGATGGTGGTGAGGAAGGTGTAGAATTGGAAATAAGGAAAGATGTGAGTTCCGGGACCGAGAGAGAGGAGTAATGGGACCCATAGAATGGATTGGTGTCAAGATGAAGGACAGTTTTTCCAGAAGCAGAAGCTGCAGCAGCAACAACGCATTCTGCTAAACCAGTGCCCACAGCAATCAGGTCGAAGGTGGTTGGTTCAATTTGCGGGTATGGTGAGGGCTCCCTCATGGTCGCACTGGAGAGGAACAGTATATTTACTGCTGTAAGTGAACAAATGACTAGCTAAAAATCACCTGGCACAAGAAGCAAGAGGAAAAAAAAAAAAAAAGTGTTATCAAGTATGATCAACAAGTGAAGGTTTTGCACTTTCTTTTAATATTTGAACACCAACAATAATAACGTGGAATTACCTATACATTTACAAGATCTGGGCCTTTCGTTCTAAAAGATCTGAGGTATTTTTACGGTGCTTCAGTGTTCATATTCATGTGCTTATAAATATTTTTTTACGTGTTCACGAATTTATAAATATTTTTAAAAAAAGAAAGAATTAAAAAAAAAACATTAATGCGTTATTCATCATTTTTTTTTCAATGCGCTTGGATTTTAACAATTAGTTGAATACATTTTCTAGTTTTTAGGAATTAATATAGCCTAAAGTGATATTTTTAAGCTAAAAGTAGATTTAATAATAAGCTGACATGTTTTCTCTAAGTTAGCATCGCATTTTAAAAACTTGAATTTTAATGGTGAGGCCAAATTTGAATCAAAGCCTAGCCTTGGATTTTATTTTAAACCTGTTTGAAAGTTAACCGATTGAATCAAAGAAAACTACGTTGCTGCAAGCCTCGTCATTCAAATTACTTGATCTCCCTATAACTATGAGAAGGTGCAGTTCATTATGTTGCAGGCAGTCCATGCACAAAACACCATGTAGGATGTGTTCTACCACTGGATCATGAAAAGGAGAACAAATTCTCAAGAAAATACCCTGCATTAAACAGCATTTCTAGAAACGATTTCTATTCTCTTTGATCGAATGAAACAAAATGGATTAAAAAAAAAACAAAATTTCCTCATTGAAGACGACATCATTCTAGTTAAGCGGGGGAATAATTAGATAGATAAATAGAGGGGGGGAAGAACTACACTAGCTTGTAGAAATATTATTAACTCATGATTAATGATCACTATTAGCAGTAACCTGAAAAAAATTAAGGCTGAATAGGGGTTAGTGGATCCTGGGAAATGAAGCTGAAACCAAGATTCCAACAGCATATATACAAGGGGTTGATGGTAAGGTACAGTAGAGCGCAGCAGTTTCACGTTGGTATTAGAGCCAGTATTTGCGTCTTTATTCTTCCCATGCACATTTGTATCTCTCTATAAATTGGCAGATTTTGTGGACAGCATGGATGCAAGCTAGTAACAGCAGAATCAATTATCTGGGCCACATCAGATGGGGGGTACTGTCGTTCAGTGCATGTCTGCGTATTATTAAAACATGATGAGCATGATATTATAGGAAATCAACGGGTGTGAATATTTTCCATCCAAGAGAGAGCATGGTGGTACAAAATGTCCAAGTTACCTGTATCATGAGCAAAGCAGCGACACATGATGATATGAGCTCTGAAGGAATTGCTGTCTCAATTTTTTCAGAATCATTTGATTGAGGCCCAGATACATTGCAGTTAACCTGGGACTCTGGTGTGCTGGGAATCAACTGATTTTGAAGGCCTAAACCGGTATTGGCCTCCTCCTGGGACCTGATCATTTGTGCCCTAGATTCGGATCCCAAATGACTTCTATTCATAGAATCTAATGCCTCTCCAATTCTTGAAAAGGCATCTTCCCCTTCTTTCATGGATGAAATTGCCTGCAATAGTTATTGCTTCACTAAGTGATAACTGATAACTAGTTAATGGATGCATGCCTCTGGTTAATTCTATAATGAAGAGAACATCAAGCTAGATATATTACTAGCAACCAGCAGATATAAGACAATGAACCTCCAGATAAGTATCTAAGAGGACTTGAACATAAGTTCGCTCAAAATTTAATATATTTTTTAAAAAAAAAGTTCCCGACAGGCCCAACTTAGGAATTGCTGAGTTCCATCTAATGGGTTGCGTAACAGGCTCAGTCTGCAGCACCAATCACCAACGAGGATATAATGTGTTGCAGAGAAATGGAAGAACCATCAATCTTATATTGATATAATGTATGAGAACCACAGAATTTTTTTTCAAGATTAAATGGATGGTCATGATTAATGGATCATAGAATCACTTTCATCAGTAATAGCAGATTTAAAAAATGATTACATCCAGAATTTCTGCAAACACATTTCAGATCGGTGTGCAGGCATGGAAGAGCGAGGAGAGCAAGAAGACTGAATTCAGTGAATACCTGGACAGCAGCATCTACCATAGCATGTGCCTTTAATCTCAACCCTCTAACAATCTCAAGAACAGCAGATCCTGAATCTTGAGATACACAAGAACTTTGCGGTCTTAGCATACCAGAGAAACAGGAATTGGCTGGAGGTTTCAGCCAAGCAGGCACATTGTTTCCGGGATAAGTATTAAGCTGCCTCAAATTGAGTAAAGCAGAAGAGGCCTGTCAGATATACAAAGTGATTAGAGGTTGAAGCAAGATTGCAGCACATAAATTTGAAAGTGAACATGCAAATCATATACAGCGTGAGTGCAAATATAAGCAAGGCACATGACTGGCCACTGGCTTCCTTTAGCTGTACAAGTACTGTGCCCAAGTGCTTCTTGAAAGGTTCAGAATCTTTTAAAGAGTTATCTCCATTTTTTGGGTTTTCCATTACATCATTATTTGTGTTTATAAGCAACACCAACCACAATTCCTATAATTATAAAACAGGAGAAATTTTGGTCACAAACTTGATGCAAATCCAAGGCAACTCCATTTGTATACAAGATCAAGATGAAGTACGGTGTTGGATCAAGTATTAAGGATAAAAATGCTAGCACTGCAAAAGCCAGGAGACCAAAATGGTGAGTGCACATTATGATTATGTTGTGCTCTTCCAAAGGAAATGCCTAGCCAGCTTAGCTGGTGGTGTGTAATTTACAATCCAAATCCCAAAAGACAATAATGAGGACAGCCTGAAAATGGAAGGAACATTGAGCCAGAACCAGAAGTGTTGCAAAATTAAATCATAGACCAAAGAAAAGCAAATCCTCCCTGTAAAATGGCAGACAGTGACAACCATCTGTACCATAACTGAGCATCACAAGTATTGCAGGTTGTTCAACTGAATATAACAGGTTGTATATAGCTGCATCTTGTACCTTTTTATCAAGCACACAATTCAGCTCAGACAGAGCTCGAATATCATATTCCTTCAGTTGGATCTGTGATACCCTAGAAGGTTGACCACAGGCTCCTTGTGCATTAACAATGTCAGTGGATGTTGCCTTGGCAAGAAGGTTGGCATGGTTGGCCTCAACCTGAATAAAAGTAATCACATTGCTTGAAAATAACAAATTTTGAAATACCGTTACTCTGAAGTTTAATGGATAGCTATTCTTACTTGTGCCTGCTTCGTCAAAGCATTCATGGGACTCTCTGCATTCCTTAGTTTTTCAATTGCAGTGAACTCTCCAATGTTTGACTTCCCATTCACTGGCAGTTCCTTGGGCAGAACAGAGGTTTTCTGTCTCTTAGGAGCTTCTGGCATGTTATCCAGCGGATTTGAAGGCATGCAATCTATATCCTACAGTAAAATATTTATTGTCATCGTTCTGAAGTAGGAGAGATGACTGTGCTAGTTTTTAAAGGAAAAAAATAAATGGAGGAGATGTCTATTCCTAGAATAAATTCTGCAGAAAATATATTTCCTTCTCAACATGACTTGGGAACAAAATGGATGAATCATTAGGGACTGAATCATGAGAGGAAAAGTAGAAGGCACAAGTTGGAAACAAACCAATAGCAAAATTCAGATAAATTCTTCAGAAGAAATTTTACTTAACTAAACAAGACTGTTTGGAGACAGTTCATTAACAATTAGGACATGAATTGCTAAATTACTCTTCCCAAAAAAATAAAAGTAATTTAATAGATCTTAACTGCCTAACAATTACGAATAGTTTATAGAAGCACAAAAGCTCATACATCAGGAGGATTAAAGACCATGAAAGCTTTATAATCCCAGCCAATAAGTCATAAGTACTAACCAGAAATTGAGTAACCAATGACTTGCAGCAGAACCAGTATGACCCATGTTACGGGCTACAACCACTCATCTTTGTAGTCAATAAGACTCTTGGCATTACAGCAAACTACTATGAAAATTGATCATTTTTCACTTGATAAACTAGGATGTCGTAAGGTTTCTGGGGCATAATTCATTTAGGGCAACCAAATTGATTGCTGCTCGTTATTTTACAAACCAATGAACTATGAGCATAACATTGAAGCCAATTTCTGAATCAGCACAGCATAAGTAAATTCTACCAAAACTTAATAGAATAGTCAAGTCTTTCACATTGTTCCAACTTCCAAAAGATCTTTTCAAATGCAAACTATTTATGCCACTGAAAAAAGCAAAACACAAATACCAAAATCTGAAAAACTGTAAACAACACATGAAAGTAAGAAATATAACACACGTAAATTCAAGAATGCAATTACCTTGACAAATTCAACTCCTAACTCAGCACGGTCAAACTGAACCCTGCACCGGTCATGATCCACGGTGAGCACACTTCCATCATGAAGTTCTCTTGTTTTGGGATGAATAGCAATTACTCGCTGTCCAACTGATAAAGGTCTTGCTAAATCTGTTGGAAGTCCTTCCCTTAAACCAGTACGAAGCTCCATATAATGTTTTCTCACAGATTCTCTATATTGCTGGAGTTTCTCTCTTTCTTCTTGTAAAAAACGCTCAGAAAACCTCCGAGGTTTACCAAGAGAACTGCATAAAGTTACATTAGTTTACGATCCATGAATGTCACTATAATATGCTTGACAGAGATTGAAAAACAAAACACACCTTCTTATGACACCCCATTCTACTCGAGTCAGCCTTGGAATGTGCCCAAGTCCAACATGATTTAAATACTCCACAAACTCCCTTTTAGCAAACCAAGGGTAGTCAACTGCACTGTAAAACCATTCAAATGTACACCATCTGCGAACCATAGGAGATGATAATATACAAGAAAGCTTGTCCTGTAATTCCAGAAACCCATAAGAACATCTGTAAATGAGACTCTAATAATCGGTAAACTATGATAAATAGAATTACACATGG